GCAGCAAGATTATGTAACCTTTTGCCCTTTCTTATGGAGACTTTTTGCTATAAAAGTTTTTTATCCTCTGCATTAAATCGCACTCAGCGCTCAGCACTCAACATCCACTCCTAATGTGTGTGAGTTGTCTGTTTGCCATCTCCCCATCCTATTCCAGGTTCCTCCCCTAGGTATCCTCCGTCCTCCGGACAGAACCCGGCCCGCGGCAATGTATACTACACTATACTTCTTCATTATCCACATACCAGGTCTTTTACCCTTTGTAATATATGTCACTGTAATCAAATCTTGCTTAGCTTTTTTTATTTAGTTTATCAATTGCTTTTTTCCTCTTAAGAAGACATTTTCTGTGTCTACCCATTCTTATCTCCTTCTATCTTACTTAGCCCTCTTTTCTGGAAGGACTGTTTTCGCCAAAGTCATCACCACATTTCTGTGTTTTACTATTCCTGCTTTTATGGTTTTTCTGTGATTATGCCTTTTGTCAAATAAATTTCAACTCACTTAAAATATTATAGGAGTGGAAGGAGACAACATTGTAACTAAGTGCTGGTAGCTCATAGCTGTAATCCTAATTACTTAGGAGGCTGAGATTTGAGGACCGAATTTTGAAGCCAGATCAGGCAAAATGGAGAGATTCTTATCTCTTACGAACAAAAAGCTATAGGTGGAGGTGTGGCTAAGTGGTAGATTAGCAGCCTCCAGTAAAAAAGCTAAACAAGAACAAGAGGTCCTGGGACTAGATTAAAAAAAGATAACACACAAAGAGTTAACATTGCACTCATAAATAGACATGTTAAAATAAAATTCCCTGGTACAACTAATTGATCCTATTCAAAAATAAAAATAAGGGCTGGGAATGTTGTTTAGTGCTTGCCTAGTATCTATGAAGCCCTGGATTTGATTCCCCAGTACCACATAAACAGAAAAAGCCGAAAGTGATACTGTGGCTAACGTGGTAGAGTTCTAGCCTTGAGCAAAAGCAGCTTAGGGATAGTGCGTAGGCCTTGAGTCCAAACCCCAAGACTGGCAAAAATAAATAAATAAAAACCAAAGAAACAAAGATGCTAATGACTAATACAACACAAACTTTCCTAGAATTAAAAAGTACAAAAGACTCATTATGTAAAAGTATACTATAGGAGGATACTCTTAGGGGAGGAACACAAAGATGCAATGTGCTTCTGATAATATAAAAATGTACTATATACCTGAGAATGTCCACCCAGAATGACTAAGGGCATGGACATCCTAGCAAACATAGGTGATTTCTTATAAACAAACTTAGATTGCCTTCAAACTTTTCAATACCCAGACTTAATGCCAAGATAAAAGAGAGTAGTAAATATTTAAGATAGTCAAAGGAGAAAACATGAACCAAGGACATTTATCAGATGGAAATGGACTTTTAAGTATAATATACGCATATATGTATGTACTTGAAGGAACTCAGGGAAGGTTGTTCCCACAATCCCTTCCCAAGCATAGTGGTGAGAGACAGAGATGGAGAATGCTATGATGATTACCTGAAATACTTATTTTTAAAATCTGGACAAAATGAGAGCTCAAATGCCTATGTCCTCAGAAAATGTAGATATAGTACAACTTTGTGAAAATAAAAGAAATGGGGAAAGCATATTCTCGGTCATTATATTGGTGGCAGTGTTAGTGTAATTACTCCAAAACTCTGAAATAAGATCATGTAAATGTGTATATGTCAGATAGTCTAATTCTACTCTCTATCTTTGTAAGTTAGAGCTTTGTTTGCCAGTCCTGGAGCTTGAACTCAGGTCCTGAGCATTGTCATGAGCTACTTTTGCTCAAGGCTAGAACTCTACCACTTGAGCCACAGCACTACTTCTGACTTTTTCTGTTTATGTGGTACTGAGGATTCAAACCCAGGGCTTCATGCATGCTAGGCAAGCATTCTACACTAAGCCATATTCCCAGTCCAAAAATTAGAGCTTTTAGCATGGAAGAGGACAGATGTAATTTAAAAGACTTTCAGTTAAAAAAAATATGGGGTTGAGGATTTAGCTTAGTGCAAGAACACTTGCCTGGCAAATACAAGGCCCTGAATTTGGTCCTCAGTTCTGGGGGGAAAAAACTATAAATAATACTACATTTCAGATATTTTGGAGGGGTATCTTAAACATTTTTTGTTCTCTTTTACCCTTAAAATAATCTTGATGATTTTCTTACAATTTTGAGATAATTTTGAGATTTATTTCACATATATAAAATTAATCCACTTAAATTGTATAGCTCAGTGATTGTTTTCTTCAATTAACCACCAAAAGACCAGCAGTGGCACTGTGGTTCAAAGTGGTAGAGCACTAGCCTTGAGCTGAAGAGCTCAGCGATAGCACCCAGGCCCAGAGTTCAAGCCCCATGACCAATCCTCCCCCACCCCCTGCAAAAAAAGAATTCTAAGTACCATTTTTTCCTTTGAATTATGGCTTGCCATCCATTTTATGCCTGTTTTGGTTTCCTAGTGCTTTGGGCAGTATTTTTTAGAAATACTTTAAGTGTGTAGCTGTTACACTATGCAGCTGAGCACCAATTGCTCATGCCTGTAATCACAGCTAATCAAGCAGTTGAGATCTGAAGACTGTACTCAACCAGCCTTGGCAGGAAGTTCTATGAGACTGTTAGCTCCAATTAATCACCAAAAAGCCAGAAATGGAGCTGTAGCTTAAATAGTATAGTGCCAGTCTTGAGCAAAAAAGCCCAGGTAGATGCTTAGGCCCTCAGTTCAAGCCCCAGAACAGGTATGTACATGCATATACACAGTCACGTATACACACACACAAAAAAATAAACAAATACATAAAATGTAGGTGCATCCCCTGGGAGCATTTGCTATTAAAAGATACTGCCTAGATTTTTTTTTTGATCATTCATGGGGCTTGAATTCTGGACCTGGGCGCTCTCCCTCAGCACTTCAGCTCAAGGCGAGCACTTTAACACTTGAGCCACAGCACCACTTCTGGTTTTCTAGTGGTTTATTGGAAATAAGAGTCTCATGGACTTTTCTGCCCAGGCTGGCTTTGAACTGTGATCCTCAGATCTCAGCCTCCTGAGTAACTAGGATTATAGGCATGAGCCATCAGCACCCAGCTCTGCCTAGAATTTTTTTTTGTTTTTTGGGTCTGGTCATGGGCCTGAACTCTGGGCCTGGGCTCTATCCCTCAGCTCTTCAGCTCAAGGCTAGTGTGCTACCACTTGAGCCACAGCACCACTTTTGGCTTTTTTTTTCTGCTTATGTGGTGTTGAGGAATCAAACCCAGGGCCTCATGCATGCAAGGCAAACGCTCTACCACTGAGCTACTTTCCCAGTCCCTCTGCCTAGAATTTTTAAATCTAGAATCTTTTTATGATTCTGAATCTTTGCTCAGATCAAAGGAAAACAACAGCTAATCAGTTCAGGCCAGCTTGCCCCTCCACCAACTGGGGCCACTACCTATGGGAAAGTCTTGCTGTAACTCAGGCAGCCCTCTTGAAAGCCATCTTCCCGTGGCTACCACTCAGAAAAGAGTCTTGCCTGTTTCAAACAAACCTATCACAATCTGAACTGTCTAAAGGAGGAATAAAAGGGGGTAGGAACAATACAAAACAGCCACTCATTGACAATAAGCAGACAACCAGTCTCTGGGTCCTGCTGCTCATTCTTCTGAGTGGGCTTTATATCCTCTTTCTTAAATAAACTCTTTGCTACTTCACTATAACTGTGCTTGCTGGTCCTAGGTTTATTTCTATACTACCAGAGAGAAAGAACCTACCATGCTTGTGTTTAAAGATGACTTCTGCTCCTTAAGAGCAACAATATCTGGTAAGAATCTGTGAGAGAATAAGGAACCATTAGTATATTTTCCTCCTACCCCTTCATACCTGATGTTGGACTGGCAATTCCTTGATCTGGTAATGCTTTGAATTTCTGATGTTGCTCATACCAGTCACTCACAGTCATAGTTGCCAGGCTTGGATAACCAGATCCAAATACTCTGAAAAAAAAATCACACTGCATTTAGAAAATTGAAATAGCACCATTAGAAAATCGTCTTCAAGTGGGTACCAGTGGCACAACAGTGGCTCATGTTTGTAAACTTAGTTATACTGCAGGCGGGGGAGGGGGAATTAGATCTGAGGATTGTAGTTTGAAGGCAGCCTGGGTAGCAAAATCCACCAGACCCTTATCTCCAATTAACCACCAGAAAACTAGAAGTGGTGTTGTGGGCCAAAGTGGTAGAGTGCAAGCCTTGAGTGAAAAAGCTCAGAGACAGAGCCCAGGCCCTGAGTTCAAACCTCATGATCCAAACAAAACAAAAAAGCCTCTTCAAGCTGGGTGCTGGTAGCTCAGGCCTGTAATCCTAGCTACGCAGGAGGCTGAGATCTGAAGATCTTGGTTCAAAATCAGCCTGGATAGGAAAATCCATGACTCTTATCTCTATTAAACCATTCACAAAAAAGCAGAAGTGGCATGTGGCTCAAGTGCTAGGCTTGAGCAAAAGAAGCTCAGAGACAGTGCCCAAGCCCTGAGTTCGGGCCCCAGGACCGACAAAAAAAAGCCTCTTCACCTTACCATTACTTAAAGATGACATTTTTTTTTGTTGGTCATGGGGCTTGAACTCTGGGCCTGGGCGCTGTCCCTGCACTCTTAAGCTCAAGGCGAGCACTCTACCACTTGAGGCACAGCACCAATTCCAGTTTTCTAGTGGTTAATTGCAGATAAGAGTCTCACAGACTTTCTTACCTGGGCTAGCTTTGAACCATGATCCTTAGATCTCAGTCTCCTGAGTAGCTAGGATTACAGGTGTGAGCCACCAGTGCCCAGCTAAAGATAACGTTTGTTGTTTTTTTTTTTTTAAAAAAAACTTCACTTTGAAACCTGGTGCTAGTTGCTCATGCCTGTAATCCTAGCTACTCAGAAGGCTGAGATCTGAGGACTGTGGTTTGAAGCCAGAGTAGGCAAGAAAGTCCATGAGGCTTTGATCTCCTATTAATTACCAGAAAGCCAGAAAGAACCTGTACCTCAAGTGGAAGAGTGCTACCATTGAGCAAGAAAGCTCAGTGACACCATCCAGATCCTGAGTTCACCCCAGGACCAGCCCCAGAATAAATCTCTACACTTTAATACTGAGGTGTATCTGTATTAGTCTCATCCTCTACCCAGCTATTTTCTATGGGGTTATACAAACTCTGGAAAAGATGCATAAAAGAGCATATACAGGCGGGGTGCTGGTGGCTCACGCCTGTAACCCTAGCTATTCAGGAGGCTGAGATCTAAGGATCACGGTCAAAGCCAACCCAGGCAGGAAAGTCTGTAAGACTTATTTCCAATAAACCACCAGAAAACTGGAAGTGGCCCCTTGGTACAAGTGGTAGAGTGCTTGCCTTGAGCTGAAGAGTGCAGGGACAGTACCCAGGCCAGAGTTCAAGCCCCATAACAGACAACACACACACACACACACACACACACACACACACACACACACACACACCCATACACAAAACACACACACACACACAACAAACAAACAAACAAAAACCAAACATATACAGGGATATACAAGGAGGAGCATTATAGTCAAGAGCTTTCTTTTTTTGTTTTTGTTTTTTTTTGGGGTCCAGTCATGGGGCCTGGACTCTGGGCCTGGGTGCTGTCCCTCAGCTCTTCAGCTCAAGGCTAGCACTGTGCTCTACCACTTGAGCCACAGCGACACTTCTGGCTTTTTTCTTTTTGCTTATGTGGTGCTGAGGAATCGAACCCAGGGCCTCAGGCATGCAAGGCAAGAGCTCTACCACTGAGCCACCTTCCCAGCCCTAGTCAAGAGCTTTCAATAGAAGACAAATTGCCTAGGGTCATCATCCAATAAGCAGTTCCTAACACCAGTGCTCCAGGGAGCAATGAAGCCATGTGAAATGGGAATTTATAGTTGGTGCTTCTTTAAAGTACAGAGAAAGCTGGGTGTTGGTGCTCATGCCTGTAATACTAGCTACTCAGGAGGTTGAGATCTAAGGATCATGGTTCAAAGCTAGCCTGGGCAGAAAAGTCTGTGGGACTCCAATCTCCATTTAAACACCAGAAAACCAGAAGTGGCACTGTGGCTCAAGTGGTAGAGTGCTCACTATGAGCTGAAGCATTCAGGGACAGCGCCCAGGCCCAAAGTTCAAGCCCCATGAACAACAACAACAACAAAAAACCCCAAAACAAAACTACAGAGGGGACATCTGTAACAATGAAATAGCTGTAAGAACTCAAAATTAAATTATAAACAAAGGTGCGAAGAGTGGGAAAAATCAAAAAAATTGTAAATTGTTTTTGTGAGTGTGAGTGTATGTGTGTGGGTGTGCGCGTGCTTGCTCCCATGTGCCTGTCCTGGGGTTTGAACTCAGGGCCTAGGCACTGTCCCTTAGCTTTTTTGCTTAAGGCTAGCCCTCTATCACTTAAGACACAGCCCCACCTCCGACTTTTTGGTGGTTAATTGGAGATAAGAGCCTATGGATTTTTCTGCCCAGGCTGCCTTTGAACCATGATCCTCAGATTTTAGCCTCCTGTAAAGCTATGATTACAGGTGTAAGCTAACAGCACCTGGCTTGTTTCCTTATATTTTTCAAACTATGTAAAAGGAATATCTGGGGCTGGGAATGTGGTTTAGTGGCAGAGTGCTAACCTGGCATGCATGAAGCCCTGGGTTCCATTCCTCAGTACCACATAAACAAAAAAAACTGGAAGTTTCACTGTGGCTCAAGTGATAGAGTGCTAGCCTTGAGCAAAAAGAAGCTCAGGGACAGTGCCCAGGTCCTCAGTTCAAGCCCCAGGATTAGCAAAAAATAAAAATTTAAAACAAAGTATAAGGAATATCTGGGAAAAACATGGATAAAGTAGCAGGAAAGCTGTTACTCCTTTTATGAAAGAACCGCCTTCATAGGTGAAGCCCTGTTTTTAAAAATGCCCATTCTGTGTGTTCATCATACAGTGTAACAGAACCATACAAACAGAGGCTGCACAAGCAATTACCTTCCAGTTAGTAATTCCTAGTATACCTACGTTGCTTGGGCCTTGTTCCGAGTGAGGATGAAGGGTTTCATTGGAGGTTTTGCCTGAAGAGATGAGTGAGAAGTTGACACCTAAGAAGAAAATTAAATTCAGAGGTGAACTTGCCATTTTACCCTCCCTAAATGCAAGATCTGACATCTTCTGGTGCCAGAAAATTTTGGGGATTCAAACTTTATTCCTTTTCTATGTACCAGTTTTTAATATACAATTCTCTTGAACTGTCTTGAGTACCTTGCTAAAAAGAAAGTTCCCCCAGGAATCTTCTTACCTCAAGGAAAAATATTTTTTAATATTTCTTTTTTTGGACAATATCACCCCTTCCTTTGCTTTCCCCCAGCTTCTCCCTCCCACAAAAAAATCATTACTTGCTTTATAATAGCCCCTTTGCTATGGTGGTCAGCTTTCCTTGTGGTTTATTTGGACTCAGAAGCCTTCTTGATATGACCATATAAAATGCTCATTGAAATGAATTCTAAGAAATGAAAACAAGGATTTTTTTAGTGTACTGTTTTCAGGGTTTTTTTTAGTTCTTTGGTTTATTCCCTGTTGATACTTTTTTGATTTGTTTCATTGTCTTGTATGTAAGCTTATCTGATTTGGGGAAGGGGAAGGGAATCACAGAAATGGTGGGACAAAGGATGAACCAATGCAACAGTGATACTCACTAGACACCATGTTGATACTGAACTTTACAACTTAACGGAGATGGGAGTGGAGGTGGTGGGAAGTGGAGAAAATGAGGGAGAGGAGTACCACTGTTCAAAAAGAAATCTACTCACTACCTTACTTATGCAAGTGTAACTTCTCTGTACATTACTTTATAATAAAATTTAAAAACTAAAATAAAATAGCCCCTTTGAAGAAGATTCTAAAGCCTACTTCCATAACCCATCAATTTTCTGAACTGAATCTGAAACTCTTTTCTTCAGCCTGGCCTTCAGTAAAGTGAAACTATTAAGATTCCTCTAGGACCTTTTCCAATATAATTATGCTATTGTCAAGAAGTCCTGGACAGGCTGGGAAGGTGGCTCAGTGGTAGAGTGCCTGCCTTGCATGCATGAGGCCCTGGGTTCGATTCCTCAGCACCACATAAGCAAAAAGAAAAAGCCGGAAGTGGCACTGTGGCTCAAGTGGTAGAGCGCTAGCCTTGAGCTGAAGAGCTGAGGAACAGTGCCCAGTCCCAGAGTTCAGGCCCCATGACTGACCTAAAAAAATTTTTTTAAAGGAAAAAAGAAATGGTTGTTCCTACATAAAAGGGGAAGAACAAGATAATTTTTGTTTTTGTTTTGTTTGCTTGAGTCAGTCAAGGACCTCATATTTAGGACCTGGACACTGTCCCTGAGCTTCTCATGCTCAAAGCTAGCAATCTACTACTGTGAGCCACAGTGCCACTCCAGTTTTCTGGTGGTTAACTGGAGAAGAAGTCTCACAGACCTTCCTGCCTGGGCTGTCTTTGAACCATGATCTTCAGATCTTAGCCTACTGAGTAGCTAGGATTACAAGTGCAAGCCACTAGTGCCTGGCTAAGCTAATTGTTTTGTATAGAGTCTTATGAAAATATTTCAAGGAACCATACCATTTTAGGGGCATGCTGAAACAAAGTGCTTAAAGAAAAAGAATTTCCTTGGTTTCTGGCTCTATCATTTCCAGAGTGTATCTTACTACTATAGTGAGATCATTTTTTAAAGTTTAAAAAAATTATTATAAAGGTGATGTACAGAAGTGTTGCAGTTATATAAGTCAGGTAATGGGTACATTTCTTTTTTGGACAATGCCATCCCTTCCTTGGCTCTCTCTCAGTTTTTCCATCCCATCCCCGGCCACAAGTGTCTACTGAGTACCAGGGCTGTATTTGTTGAGAGATCATTTTTTAAAAACTTCCTACCAAACAAAGGGGGGACAGGGCAGAATCCAGAAGGGTCCAGCCTCACAATGGTAGAAACCTACTCATCTAAACATGTTTAAGGGGCTCTCTTTATGGTCTTCCAATACCAAACTATTTATTCATTGATTCTATAATGCGAAGAACGATGCTGATGTTATCCTTAGATAAGAGCTCCTGGGATAATTTGCACGAATCAAATTAAAAAGAAGTTCCTCTGGGTATTTAAAATAATGTTTGTGACCAGCTGATAAGTTTCAATGAATTTATGTTGGAGTCAATACCAAAGAGCATGTAGCAGCAGAGCCTACTGTTCTGCAGTAGCTCAGAAATGATGCTGTGATCTTCAACAGCAGCCAAGGCTGTTCCATCAGACTTTCTTTTCCGGCATTCTGTGCATAAAGATGAAACCCTGTTGTGGTGTCTCTTTCTTGAGTGATGTACAGAAGACTGCATCATTGTGGAAGGCAAAGTTCTAATTCCTCTCCCAACCTAAAAACATTCCCTAGCCTTTTGTTTCACTTTCCTATTTTTACTCTTTTTTCTCTTCTCTAGTTCTATTTTTCATACCTAGTCCCATCCTACTCTTCTTCCCCTGTATTATAGTAGATTTTAAAGGTCCCCTGTCTCCCGTCAGAAGCTGTGACTTCCTAGAGCAAAAATCAATGTTAATTTCAGGGAAGTCACTGCGTTCCAGAACATGTCACAAAGTTATAATTAATTAGAAATGTGTTACAGGTTAGAAAGCTCTGTGCTGGTGGCTCATACCTCTAATTCCAGCTTCTTAAAGAGGCTGAGATATGAAGATCATGGTCCAAAGCCAATCCAGGGTAGGAAAGTCTGTGAGATTCTTATTTCCAATTAACCATCAAAAAGCCAAAAGTAGAAGTGTGCTTCTAATGGTAGGGTGCTAGCTTTAAGCAAAAAAGATGAAGGACAGTACCCAGGCGCTGAGTTTAAACCTCAGTACTGGTACAGTACAGCTTTTTTTTAAAGCAAGCCCTGGGGAACACTTGTTATAAACTAAACAGAAAGTTATCCTAGTGAGCCATCAGCCTTTCTCCATTCGTTGTAAGAACAACATTGACTTTATGGAGACATACAGATTTTTAAAAGATATTCAAATCTGACAGCAGTTTCCCAAACTATGTGGGAAGTGGCCAGGCTTACCTCTCTTGGAGAAGAGTCTTTTTCTTTGAGGATCCTTATTTCCTGGTCAATGCTCTCCATCTCCTCTAGGCTGATACCAATCCACCTCCTAAGGTGAAGGAGGTAATACTCTCGAACACGCTCATCATCTGCTTGTCCACTTTCCACAGCAGATTTCAGTGCAGACAACCTCTGCTCCATCTCCTTCTTTTGCTTGTATCTGTTCCACAGAAAAGCATTACCCATGAGCTTAAAAAATAATGAGCAAAAAGCCACGTGTGTATGTGTGTGTGTGTGTGTATGCGTGTATGCTGGTCTTGGGCCTGGGCTGTCCCTGAGCTTCTTTTGCACAAGGCTAGCACTTTACCACTTAAGCCAGTGCTCTACTTCCAGCCCTTTGGGGGTAGTTTACTGGAAATAAAAGTCTCATGGACTTTTCTGACTGGGCTGGCTTTAAAAACCACAATCAAGATCTCAGCCTCCTGAGTAGCTACAAAGTAGCTGACTCAAAGTAAGATTTCTATCTTTGTAAATATCCAGGTAGTGAGTATAAGGATTTCTACCTTGGCAGGAAACATTGTATAACCCAGATCTTGCCACCAGGCAGTTTCCTGGGACAAGGAAAGGAAGGGCCTAGCAGGGGCTAAAAATCACTATGAAGCTAGAGAAAGGGAGATGTACCTGATCTCAGCAAGTCCTGCCCTATGTTTCAAGATTAGAGTATCCTATCAAGACCTGATTAAAACAACCCTCAGTAGAATGGGGACTCAGGATCACATAGTACTTCCCATAAGGCTTTCATATGAAATGTCTTCAAAGAATCTTAGGATTCATTTGCCTGACACTGATGGAGGACGTCCTAAATAATGATCATCTTTTCTTCTGGGATAAACATTCCTAGCACCCTAACACATCTTTATCTCATTTTAAGGATCCTAACCACCTGAACTGCCTTTTTTCTCCAAATGCATTCTAAATAGGCCATCTATCATTATTCCAACAAGTACCTCTGAAGTACCAATTATGTGAAGGCTCTTTTAGTGCTGGAGACAATTTATAAAAACAAGTCCTTGCTTTCATGTAGCTTTCACCCTAGTGGTAGAGGGGCAGTCATGAGTGGAAAAAGACTCTGTGTGTGTGTGTGTGTGTGTGTGTGTGTGTGTGTGTGTGTGTGTGTGATTGCTAAGTGTTCTAAAGCAAGGTCAAGTGTACAGAATGATGGTGTGGAAGTAGGAATACTTGTATATACAAGCTCAGCAGGAAACAGCTCTCTGAAGAGGTGCCATCAGAGCAAAGCTTCAAGAAAATAATGAAGCAAGCCATAGTGACATTTAGAAGAGTTGTCTCAGAGGGAAAACACATAAAAAAGCCCCAGGGAGGAAGTGTCTAGCCTAACATTTTGGAGAAATAACCAGAAGGCCATTGTGGCTTGAAATGGAGTGAAGAAGACTGATAGGTAATGAGGTGGAGAGTGAGTCAGGGCCTTATGGGCGGATCCTGTAGGTTATGACGCAAAACACTAAACACCCTGGAATTTGAGAGATGGGAAAGCCACTGGAGTCTTTTGAACAAAATATGTGACATAAAAAGACAAGAACTAAAAATATGGGCCACTCTGAATGTTGCATGGAATAGAGCTGCAAGAGAAGAATGGAAAGTAGGGAAAGCAAGCAAGGGGAATATGCCATAATCCAGGTGAGAAACAGTAACTTGAAGTAGGAAGATAGAAGTAGTAATAGAGGGGTAAGATGTAGATGTATTTAAAATATACAACAGGATGGTTTTGCGAATGTATTGAATGTGAGGGCTTGAGCCACAGAGGAGTCAAGGAAAAATGAAAAGATTTCCAAAGCAAGCATGATAAAATATGTCTGGAACCCCATATCAAGACTCAAGGATCAGAAACTCCTCTACAGGTGCTCACATCAATAAGGTCTTAAGTCTCAAGTCCATGGAGTTCAGGACAAGGTGGGCGATTCCTGTACTCCTGGAAATTTTATACAGAATTCTGTACGATTTTTTTCCTTTACTCTTTGTGCTTTTTTTTCTCGCCCTTCCCCATCCCCCACTCTCCTTTCCCTCCATGCTTCCTTAATTTCACTGGGGAGAGATTTTTTTTTTTATGAAATTATCAAACAGGTCTGTGACCTATGTATCTGAATCCAGAAGTACTGCTCCGGAGACACTACCATTAAAGAAAAACTTTTAGATTCTTCTTTTACTCATCAAATAGGTACTTTCTGTTATGTTATCCCATCATCAGAAGTAGTTTTCTGAGTAACATGATATAAAGGTTAATTCCAAGTTCATGAATACTACTAAGTATATTACTTGAGCATGTTTAACCAGTCCTACTTTTACTACTACCTTCTTTCCTGGAGTACCAAAACAAAAGGAAACCACAAGGGCTATGGGATGTATACAATCCAGTATAAATTCTACATCAGTTTAGTGATCCTCTGAACAAGTTTCTGTGGCTTCTTTCTCCATTGTCTGTGTGTGTGTGTGTGTGTGTGTGTGTTGGCTTCTTTCTCCATTTTGTATGGGTGTGTATTGGTACTGGGGTTTGAACTCAGGGCCTCACACTCTTGCTTTGCTTTTTCACTTGATGCTTTAACCATACTTCCACTTCCCTCCATGTTCCTGTGCACTTTTCCACATACTGTTTCCTCCATTCCTTCTCTTCTACTCCCTTCTACGATTTTGCTCTTTTTCATCTTTTAGACTTCTTGGTTCCTCAATACCTGTTCATTCAGGCCAGTGTTTTTTATACCCTGTTGTTTTGGAAAAGAACCTTGTATTCAAATGAGAACTTATAAGGAACCCCTGTAAGCAACAAACATAAAATATGCCTTGGTGAAATCAGGTGTGAGCTCCCATAACTACCTAGACACAGTGGCAGAATCTTATGGCCCCAAGATCCTAAGTGATGTCACTGTTCTAAATTCCCCATGGCAGAACTTAACATGGAAACAGCTCCTAATATCCTAGAATCTTATATCTGGTAACCTTTTTGAGCATTTCCCTTTTTTATTTTTTTAGGTCATGGGGCTTGAACTCAGCCTGGGCATTGGAGAAAAGAGTCTCATGGACTTTCCTGCCTGGTCTGGCTTTGAACCGTGATCCTTAGATCTCAGCCTCCTGAGTAGCTAGGATTACAGGCCTGAGCCACCAGTGCCTGGCTTCCCTCTTTGATTTCTAAGCAGCTACAGAGAATTGGAAATTACAACTTTGTTTCAAATGGGTCAACTATCAATATCTATGTAATTTGACTCTTTTTGGTCATTTGTGTGGAGACTCCATGTCAACATAACGATTGTCAGTTGGCCAGATGGTAGGTGACATTTGATTTCCCTCTTCATCTTAAAATCTCTGTACTTTCACCTTCGTCCTTTATCTCATCTTTAAAAAAATTCTTTTTTGGGGGGTCCAGTCGTGGGGCCTGAACTCTGGGCCTGGGCGCTGTCCCTCAGCTCTTCAGCTCAAGGCTAGCACT